GAGTCCATGCTTGGCCACTGCTATTTGAGTCTCCCTGCCTCTCTTGGCTGGTCATTTCTGTAGTGTCAGGGAAGACAGTGGTAACAAGTGCTCACTCCCTCTGGCACTGTCCAGCATGCTTGGGCTTTCCCAGAGGACTGGTTTGTATCAGTCTAGGATCTGAAGCCGTAGAGCAGACCCTGAAGACTCAGGTAATTTCTGTATTAGCTTTGTGACCTGGTGTAACATGACCGCAGGAGAGTCTCTTTCCTGAGGCTGCTTTCTCACTCATCCTGTCTATTCCAGTACCCAGGCTGGCTAAGTTGGGTACATACATTAAGAAAGCTCAAGGAATAAGTTCTTCCCTAGTTTTTGCCAGCCACTGCCATTTTCCCTATGTCTTCATTTTCACTTCACCACTTTGAGAAGTTAGCAGATGTGATTGGAGCTAAGCATTCAGAGGCAGAAACAGGTGACTTTCTATGAGTTTGAAGCCAGGCTGGTCTACATTGTTCAGGTTAGTCAGGGCTACGTAGTGAGAACCTGTCTCAAAAAACAAAAACAAAACAGGTGTGATTGGAGTGTGCTGCTGCTGTGGTCATCTGGAGGGCATTACCTGGAGACATTTCGGGCAGATCGGGATGGGACAGGTATTCTGGTACTCTGGAGTGTCACAGAATGCTGAGTGTTACACAGCTCAGGTGGAAAGGTATCCTGAAGCTCGGGAGCCAAGGACTACCACAGGCCACAGTAAGCATAGCAGCTTACAGCCCTGCCTCAGGGAAAGGCTTCCCAGTGGATCAGCTCCACACCAGCAGGACAGGGTCTTCCAGCTGGAGATGTTTGCCCAGTATAGCAGTTTTGCTGCGGCAGGAGAAGGTTTCCTGGGCGAAGTTGCCACAGTTCAGCTCTGCTCTTGGGAAAGTGGGTGTAACTCTGCTCTGCCAGGGGAAGGTTTTGCCAGCAGAAGTGTTACAGCCCTGCTCACTCTGCCCTGCCCAGGGTCGTCTCTGCTCCGCACAAAAGAAGGTCTCCACCCAAAGCTCATCAAAGGGGTTTATTGGGCGGGAAGAATCCAAGAGAATGGCTGCCCTCTGCCAGAGAGGCAGAGGACAGCCGGGTAGCAAGAACAGCCACAAGCTGAACGGACACAGGGTTTATATAGGGCTTCCAGGGTAGGGATTGGTCAGATTTCAATGCTGAGCTCAGATTGGCTAGAGCTCCTGCTTAAGGATTGGCTAGTTTTCTGCACAGGGTTAGGGTCAAATTTGGCTCTGGTTTCAGGGCCAAAGTGTGTTTCTTTCTCTGGTCCTTTTTAGGCTTTTGGCTCTAATTTTAGGGCCAGGGTGCATTTCTTTCACTGGCTCTGATTCCAGGGACAAAGTGTGTTTCTTTGGCCCTGCTCAGGGTGTGTTTCTTTGACTGGCCCCTTTTCCCTGCATTACCTATGTCCCCTAGCTGTCAGAGCTAGCACCTTTCCAATTTCAGTCTGTATTTGGGGTGGTAGAGGACTGACGGCAGCTGCCTTTGAAGTGTTTCTAATTGGAATAAATAGGCTGCTTTACTACTGACTTTAGGTCTTTGTTTAAAGTGAAAAGTTAGGTTTCTGTTTTTGTTTTTTGTTTTTTGTTTTTTTTGCTTTTCAAGACAGGGTTTGTCTGTGTAACATCCCTAGGTGTCCTGGAACAACTGACTCTGTAGACCAGGCTGACCTTTAGCTTACTACCTGCTTCTTCCTCCCAAGTGCTGGGCTTAAAGGCATGCGCCACCAACACCCACCTTTTTTTTTTTTTTTTTTGGTAGTTTCAAGACAGGGTTTTTCTGTGGCTTTGGAGGCTGTCCTGGAATTAGCTCTTATAGACCAGGCTGGTCTTGAACTCACAGAGATCCGCCGGCCTCTGCCTCCTGAGTGCTGGAACTGAAGGTGTGTGCCACCACTGCCTGGCTAGCAGACAACTTTTGAGAGTCAGGTTGGTTTTTTTTTTTTTCTTCCATCCTGTTGGTTCCAAGAATGAAACTCAGGTTATCTATCAGGCTCGGTGACAAGCTCCTTTAGCCACTGTTTAGCCACTGAACTCTCACCAGGCCTGAAGCAGAACAGTTCAGCCAAACTAGTTAGTGACCAAGCCTCAGAAATCTTCCTGCCTCGACAGCCCTAGCACTGGAATTACAGGTGCAGGATACTAAGCCTGGCTGTTTTGTTTGTTTGATTGAGGGTGAGCATTCTGGGGATCCAACTTTGGTCTTCATGCTTACATGGTAAGCGGTTTACCAGCCGAGTCACCTCACCAACTTTTTTGGTTTGTTTTTACCATCCTGGGGTCACATCAGCTCATGACTGCTAGGCAGGTGCTCTATCTACTTCAGAGCTTGCCTCCAGCTCCATATGCAGTGGATTTGTAACCTGGCCTTTTGTTAGGCCTGTCTTTCCCACCTTGAGTTCAAGTCCTGACTCACTATAATTTGGGGGCCTCTGAGTTTTCTGTGACTCTTTAATTGCCACAGTGAAGCCTACCTGGGTCTCCTGCTGTCTTTGATTGGATTAGTTTCTGACCTCACAAGGTGATGAAGAGATGTACATACCGGTCCTGACCTTATATGTACCTCAGTAGTACATATTACACTACTCCTGGGCAGCCCCAGCTAGCTCTCTTGAGATATCAAATTCTGTATTCAATGATCCACAGTAAAAGTCACACGGACTTCATGTGCACTGCAGCTTATACAGAACTGTCCAGAGCCTTTGCCTAGGACTAGGTGCACCAAGGCATCTCACACCCTCTTCTGGCACCTACACTCAAGTGCACATCCCTCCTCCATAAATAAAAACAAAAACTAAAAATAGACATATTGGAACATGCCTCCATCCTTTATTCCTGCCTGTATCTAATAGGTGTTTAATAAATGTTTCCCTTGGTTTGTTTACTATCAAGTATATATATCATAATAGGAAATTCCCAGCTGTCTTCCGTCCATGGGCCTTTAGAGTGTCAGTGTAGATAAAAAGGTAACGATGTCTGCAAAGCATTAGAAAATAACATCAGCACTTGCACATGTGTAGGGCAACATCAGCACTTGCACATGTGAAGGGCCACGCAGAAGGCAGAGACAATCAGATTTCTACATAGTGAGTTCCAGGTCAGCCAGGGTACACAGGCCCTGTCTCAAAAAGGTGGTGTGGGTGAACAAGGTACTGTGATGTACAGCCAGCATCATACCTGTTCTGTCTGAGCTCAAGGTCCCTGCTGTCTCTGGAAGCACAAATTTGTTTTGGAGCTACCTAGTGACATTGTGCCAAGATTTCTGGTCTTAAGCTCACTGGGATAGATTTTAGCCAAGTGGTAAACTGGGTAAATATGAGACTATGGAACAGGACATTCAACTGCCAAAGAGAAAATTGTACATAAGGAAGGCTATAAAAACCATGCAGGAAAGAGTGAAGTAAAGACAGAGATTCAAGGTAGTTTTGCTGTTGCAGGGGGTCCACCTGTATAGGAAGATAATGGCTGGGAAGCTCTCCATGGAGACCTTGGAGAAACAGCTTCTGAGTTCTTATGGATGATTATGCTGGAAGAGGTCTCCAACACTATTACATCCTGTTTCAGAAAAGATGAGTCAGAATAATGAGGAGTGATTTTTTTGTTTTGTTTTGTTTTTCAAGACAGAGTTTCTCTGTATTGTTTTGGAGGCTGTCCTGGAACTCGCTCTGTAGACCAGGCTGGCCTCGAACTCACAGAGATCCACCTGCCTCTGCCTCCCGAGTGCTGGGATTAAAGGTGTGCGCAACCAACGCCTGGCTATGAGGAGTGATTTTAACATTTAGGAAATATAAGACTTCAACTAGAGGGGCTGGAGAGATGGCTCAGAGGTTAAGAGCACTGCCTGCTCTTCTAGGGGTCCTGAGTTCAATTCCCAGCAACCACATGGTGGCTCACAACCATCTACAATTCAATCTGGTGTCCTCTTCTGTCGTGTAGGCAGAAAATTGTATATGTAATAAATAAGTAAATCTTTAAAAAAATACTTCAACTAGAAAGGTCAGAAAGACTAAAGAGAAAATAAAGGACCCATCAGATGTGCCTGGTGAATGTTTTTGCCCCCTGTTAGGCTTGAAAAACAGCATGAGACTGAGATCCAGGCAAATGTAAGTCAAGGCCATAGAGATCAGACCTGGTCTTTTTTCCAGACTCTCCACTGAAGCTGAGATCAGAATTGTTTTTATTTTGTTCTTGTAACCTTCCCTGTCTCAGAAGTCACTGTGTAGACTAGCCTGATCTTGAACTTAAGATAACCCTCTTGCCTCAATCTCCTAAAATTTGAAATCACAAGTGTGAGTTCTACTATGCCTGCCTTCTGTACCCTGTCTGATGTTTTCATTTTCATTTTCTTTAAAAATTTTATGGGTGCAGGTGTTTGCCTGTATGTATGTCTATGTACCATGTATGTGCCTGGTGCCATTAGAAGCTGGAAGGGGACATCAGATCTGGAGTTGGGTGTTACAAAATATTGTGAGATGCCATATGAGTGCCAAGAATTGAACTTAGGTCCTCTGGAAGAGCAGCTGGTGTTCTTAAACTGCTGAGCTATCTTTCCATCCCTTCTTCTTTTGTTTGTCTTTTGAGACAGGGTTTCTCTGTGTGACAGTTCTGGCTGTCCTGGAACTAGCTCTATAGACCAGAGTGACCTTGAACTCACAGAGATTGCCTGTGTCTGTCTCCTGAGTGCTGGGATTAAAGGTGAGGGCCACCACTGCCTGACTCTGTCCCTGTCCTCCTTAAGTTTGTTTTTGAGACAGAGTCTAATTATGTAGTGTTGGATGGCTCAGAAGTTGCTTTGTAGACCAAACTCGCTTAATCTTCCTACCTTTGCCTCCAGAGTCTAGAATTATAGATATGCACCACCATGTCTGACCTCATTTTTAATTAGACTGCGTTTATGAAGGAGACAGGAAGAGGGAGAATGACTGCTGTCCTTCAAGGATATCCCCTGGTTATACTGACTTACCCTCTCTGTTTGCATAGGTGTAGACGGGGCACTGCCTGCAGAGCAGGTCCTGCCAGCCTCGCTGGAGAGGATGCCCCCGTGTCCGTGATGGGCTGTGGGACAAGCAAGGTCCTTCCTGAGCCACCCAAGGATATCCAGTTGGATCTGGTCAAGAAAGTGGAGCCCTTCAGCGGCGCTAAGAATGATGTATACAAGCACTTCATCACAGAGGTGGACAGTGTTGGCCCTCTCAAAGCTGGGTTCCCAGCTACCAGTCAATATGCACCTCCCTACCCTGGTGTTCCCACTGCTGGCCACACAGAGCCTCCCTCAGAACCACCACGCAGGGCCAGAGTGGCCAAGTACAGGGCCAAGTTTGACCCACGTGTAACAGCTAAGTATGATATCAAGGCCCTGATTGGCCGAGGCAGCTTTAGTCGCGTGGTACGCGTGGAGCACCGGACAACCCGACAGCCATATGCTATCAAGATGATCGAGACCAAGTACCGAGAAGGGCGGGAAGTGTGTGAATCTGAGCTCCGAGTGCTGCGCCGCGTGCGCCATGCCAACATCATTCAGCTGGTGGAAGTGTTTGAGACACAGGAGCGTGTGTATATGGTGATGGAGCTGGCCACTGGTGGTGAGCTCTTTGATCGGATTATTGCCAAAGGTTCTTTCACTGAGCGGGATGCCACAAGAGTGCTGCAAATGGTACTGGATGGTGTCCGGTATCTGCATGCCCTGGGCATCACACACCGAGACCTCAAGCCCGAGAATCTCCTCTACTACCACCCAGGCACTGACTCCAAGATCATCATCACTGACTTTGGTTTGGCCAGTGCCCGAAAGAAAGGTGATGATTGCCTGATGAAGACCACCTGTGGCACACCTGAATACATTGCTCCTGAAGTCCTGGTTCGAAAACCCTACACCAATTCGGTGGATATGTGGGCACTGGGTGTCATTGCCTACATCCTACTCAGTGGCACCATGCCCTTTGAGGATGACAACCGCACTCGGCTGTACCGGCAGATCCTCAGGGGCAAATACAGTTATTTGGGGGAGGTGAGTTTGTCTTGTTTCTGTTCCAGGGATGTTGGGGAGGCCACTGGGTGGGAAGGTATAGCCTGTAACTCCTGATCAGAGGCTCCTGCTTTGAGGGTAATGGTCATGGGAGCCAGGCAGACAGTGTAGAAATGACAGAGACTAGCTCAGTACCCTAGTTTGTATTCCCTTAAGTGCAAACCTTGAGGTGAGGACCTGGGAGCAGAGAGCTCATGTGGGAGGTGGCTAAGTAAAGGCAAGGGCAAGTGACGCAAGAAAGAGGTAAATGAGATGAACGAGGACTTGAAGAAATGGGTTGGCCAGTCTGGTCTACATATCTAGTTCCAGGCCTGCTAGTGCTGTATAGTGAGACCCTGTCTCAAACTAAACAAAGGAAGTGGACGGTGACTGGGGAGATGACTCAGCCAGTTATGTGATTGCTATGTAAGCACAGGACGGGGGTTCTGATCCCCAGAGCCCATGTAAAAGCGTTGGATGCAGTGACATGAACTTGTTATGAGTACTGGGGAGCCAGTGATGGGAGGATACCACTAGCCAGATAGCTTGCTGAGTTCCAGCTTCAGTGAGAGACCCTGTCTCAAAAACTAGGGTGGGGAATGATAAAGGAAATCACCCTTTGGTCTCATCATATGTGCATGTGTAGAACCTATACATACACACAGACACATGTACACCCAGACACCACACACACAAGTGAACTGCCACTGTGGGCCACCACCGTGGGATACTGGAACTTAGTCCCACTTTCTGTGAATAATTGTATGGATTGTGTCACAGAATACTGAAGAGCAAGTGTGTGTGTTTAAGTATAACTACTCTACCCTATGAGTTAAAGATTTATTTTGGAGGCAGGTGGGGGCTGGAGAGATAGCCCAGTGGTTCAGAGTCTGTATTGTTCTTGTGGAGGCCCTGGGTTCAGTTCCCAACACCCATGTTGCTCATCTTACAACCACCAATATAATTCCACCTCCAGGGATCCATGTCCATGAGCAACAACACTCACGTGTACATACCTTCACACACACACACACACATTCATAATTAACAAATAAAAATTTTTAGAATTTCATTTTGTCATTAAATCCCTTATATTTCTTGCCTATCATGAATGTTAACAAGTGCTGGATAAAGTCCTCAAGTAGAGAGGCAAAGAGATGCAGGCCCTGGCAGTAGAGAGCTATGACTAGACCTGGTAGCTACAGGTGAGCTCAGAGGTGGATGGGTATGATCTCTCCAGTGTCTGTTCCACTGGGTACCATATAAGTTAGAATGAATATGCCCCATCCTCAGGAACAGTTTTTTTTTTTGTTCTTTCTCTTTTTTTAGACTTATTATATATTGAGTGTCCTGCCTGCATGTATTCCTGCACACCAGAAGAGGACACCATATCTCATTACAAATGGTTGTGAGCCACCATGTGGTTGCTGGGAATTGAACTCAGGACCTTTGGAAGAGCAGCCAGTGCTAATCTTAACCTCTGAGCTATCTCTCTAGCCTCAGGAACAGTTTCTTATTTAGTTTTGTGTGTGTGTGTGTGTGTGTGTGTGTGTGTGTGTGTGTGTGTGTGTGTGTGTGTGTGTGTGTGTGTGCCTCCCGAGTGCTGGGATTAAAGGCGTGCGCCACCAACGCCCGGCTCTTATTCAGTTTTGCCAGACAACAGTAAGGACCCCATTATCATCATATTTTGATTTTTTTTTTTTTTTTTGGTTTTTTGAGACAGAGTTTCTCTGTGGCTTTGGAGGCTGTCCTGGAACTCGCTGTGTAGATCAGGCTGGCCTCGAACTCACAGAGATCCGTCTGCCTCTGCCTCCCGAGTGCTGGGATTAAAGGCGTGCGCCACCAACGCCCGGCCATATTTTGATTTTTAAAAAGAGAAAACATTCTGATCTTAAGATGTTAGAAGTTAAGCCGGGCGTTGGTGGCAGAGGCAGGCGGATCTCTGTAAATTCGAGACCAGCCTGGTCTACAAAGCGAGTTCCAGGATAGCCTCTAAAGCTACAGAGAAACCCTGTCTCGAAAAAAAAACAAAAAACAAAAACAAAACAAAAAGATGTTAGAAGTTAATTTACTTTGTTTTGAGACATAGTTTGGCCCAGACTAGCCTCATACTCAATATATAGCCAAGGCTGACCTTCATCTTTGAATCCTCCTGCTTCTTTTTCTTCCTTCCTTCCTTCCTTCGTTCCTTCGTTCCTTCGTTCCTTCGTTCCTTCCTTCGTTCCTTCCTTCCTTCCTTCCTTTCTTTCTTTCTTTCTTTCTTTTTTTTTTGAGACAGGGTTTCTCCATGTAGCTTTGGAGCCTGTTCTGGAACTCACTTTGTAGATCAGGCTGGCCCTGAACTCACAGAGATCCACCTGCCTCTGCCTCCCAAGTGCTGGAATAAAAGGTGTGTGTCACCAACGCCCGGCCTGCCTCCTCCGCTTCTTAAATGCTGGGATTACAAGCATGCACCACTATAGCTTTAGCTCACATATTTTTTTTTTTTTTTTTTTTTTTGGTTTTTCGAGACAGGGTTTCTCTGTGGCTTTGGAGGCTGTCCTGGAACTCGCTTGGTAGTCCAGGCTGGTCTCGAACTCACAGAGATCCGCCTGCCTCTGCCTCCCGAGTGCTGGGATTAAAGGCGTTAGCTCACATATTTAAATAGTAACTTATATGCCAACAAATGCTAACCTGTGTGCCAAATTCAAATAATAACCCATCCAGTTTGTGTATCTAGGTTCACGGATGCTTCTGATACTTGCAAAACACTGTCAGATTTTAGTGTTGCTGGTTGCTGTGACAAGGATGCTGACTGGGTAGGAGGCGAGGTTGACGGCAGTAAGCGGCAAGTGCTGCAAGCTGGAGAACACCTGTGAGCTTGTGGCAGCATGTGCCACGCTTAGTGAGGAACATGGGCTGAGCTTTGCAGGACCATAGGACTCTGCCCTGACACTGAGGGCCCCTCCCCCAAAGTCCAGAATGCTTCCCTCGGGGCTGGGGCTGCCAGGGTGCTATTGTTGTCTTTGCCTCTTTTTGTTATTTTATTTTGATTTATGTTTTACCTTTTAATGCTTTATTATTTTGTGTGTGCATACTGTGGGTGTGGGTATGTGCATGCCACAACATGTATGTTGAGGTCAGAGAACAACTTTGTGGAGCAGGTTGTCTCTTTACACCTTTATGTAGATTCTAGGAATCAAACTCAGCCCATACTTTATCTACTGAGCACATTTCAGTGCCCCTTTGCTTTGTTTTGTGAAGGAGAGTCTCACGTAGCCCAGACTGACCTGAAGTTCTATGTAACCAAGGATGGCCTTGAACTGCTAGTCTTCCTGCCTCCTCCTCCCAGATTCTGGGGTTATAGGTGTGCATCACCACTGCCAGCTGCCATTTCTGCCTTTTGTAACCTGCACAGAAGGGAAGGGACTCTGGGAGCAACTGTCTTCTGTGACCTACCTTTCCTCCCGGGGATTTGGGCCTGGCCTTTTCTCATCCCCATCCTCTGGCTCAGAACAGTCACCCAAGGGTTTCATATCATTTGTTTCAGGGCTTGGGATCCCTGTTGTAGGGGTAGTCAAGAATGTCCCTTTCTCAGGAATGGTGCTGCTCTTCTCTAGGAGGGCCTCCAGGTCCTATGTTTCAAAGGTGGCAATGGTTTAAGGACAGAAGCCTTCCTCTTCGGTGCAGCTCTGTCACAGGCACTGAGGAGGGTATCTGTTTGCACCACTCATGAGAGGAGGATGAGAACTGTTTACCCTGACACCTGTAGTATATGGTCTCTGGAGTACAGGGTTACTATAGAGCACCTGATACCTTCCACAAGGTGAGCAACACCATGGAAAAGCTCATGTCTGGTCTCCTGTCCTGTGTAAATTTTAAGTGAATGGGTATGTGGTTAAAAAATTGATTCTCATCTATTTGTGCTGAACTGTTTAGTAAAACAGCGTAGGATGCTACAGATGAGCCAGAGAGTCCTGTAGAGACACTCAGAAAGTCCTGTGGTCCTGATAGGAGGCTAAAGGACTGCATTAGGTTATAGCTGAAACTGAAGCTTTAAACAGAACATGAATGACTGAAAGTCGAAAGGCTGTTTCTTTTTTTTTTTTTTTTTTTTTTTTGGTTTTTCGAGACAGGGTTTCTCTGTGGCTTTGGAGGCTGTCCTGGAACTCGCTTGGTAGTCCAGGCTGGTCTCGAACTCACAGAGATCCGCCTGCCTCTGCCTCCCGAGTGCTGGGATTAAAGGCGTGCGCCACCAACGCCCGGCCCGAAAGGCTGTTTCTATTTTGAGCTTTGTATGTGCCAAACTCTGGAGGGTCCCTCCAGATGCAGGACAGCATAGAGTTTAGCTAGAGGAGGGAGGGAGAGAGAGCATGTTTCTCAAGTGCAAAGAAAAATCTGTAGGTACACCTAACAATGTCTTATTCTGGTAATTGTTGATCAAGCAGTTTATTTAATTGGAGCTTGCACAGTCTCACTAACTAGCTATTGATTATCTAAGCATGGAGAGATAACAAATGAGTGGAGTAGGGAATGAACTCAGGCCTCCTGCTTCTACTGGAATTGAAAGAGATTCTCTGCTCTGTTCTGCTCTGCTGGAGTCAAGAGCCATGAGTCTGGGCCCTCAGTGAGAGTGTAGGAGCTGGGCAGTATCCAGTTTTTGCCTCCACTAACCTCTAGTTGGAGTTGAATGCATTAGTTCCCAGTTCAGAGTCAAATTCCTGGCAGACCCTGGTCATCTTTTTCTGCTACCAGGAGCTTGGTTAAACCCAAACAGCTCTACCTACCTACCCTTTCTGGAAAGTTTTGAAGTGATTTGTCTGGGTGTTGCCTGGGGGAGGTAGTTCTCTGTGCTGGAGACCAGTTATTTTTTTGCCTTGCTGGTCACTGCCTACCAAGTCTATCTGGAAAAAATATAATAGACCTAAAAGTCTGTACCCATCTCTGTGGAGCTGGAAGTTGCTGAAGGAGAGAGCATTAGGACAGGAAATGGCAGCAGACTGAATCCTTTTTGGCAGGCACCT